GAAACCCTATACCATTTCAGACAAATGGCTGTCCAGTCTCTTCTTAAACACTTCCAGTGTTGGATGTGCCTAGCTGTTTTGGCAAGCAATACCCTATAGCAGGGATGGCGAACCTTTTAGAGACCGAGTGCCCAAACTGCAACCCAAAACCCACTTATGCATCGTCAAGTGCTGGGTGGGTGTGGCCCATTAGGTGGGTGTGGCCCATTGGCTGGGTGTGGCCCATTGGCTGGGTGTGGCCCACTGGCTGGGCGTGGCTGTGGTGATAATGGCAGACTGGGTGGGACTAAAAAATTCAATCAATCAATTCCAACTTTGCAAGATCTTTTTTTTTCCGTGAGAAGTTGAAATTGGCTGATTGATTGAACCTTTTTTTTTTTCACACGGTGGCAGAGGCCTAAAGCGAAAAGGTTTTATAAAACCCAGCTGAACGCCTAGGACTGGGGCAATGGCGCACATGCCCACAGAGAGGGCTCTGAGTGCCGCCTCTGGCACCCAGGCTATAGGTTCGGCACCACTGCCCTATAGCTATGTGCTCAATACATAATGCGCTATAGCTGTATAACTAAGGCTCTAAACATACATCAGATATGTGCAGGGGGAACCCCTTCAGATGTGTCCACACATCTGGGGGCAGAAGCTATCTGTCATGGTTCCGACAGATGAAACTCTTCAAATAACTTTGAGGCATTGTTTACCTTAAAGAATCTTTATTTGAGTAGCATAGCATCGGCACGTACATAGGCCAAGCCAAAATCTGAATTCCTCTCCCCTGAGCACATAGTATCAAAGCACAATTCCCCCCTCCAATTAACAGTCATAAATCACATTCTCCAATTAGTTTGAAATGCAGGCTTTCCCTCCAGTTCTTCAACCCACCATTTCTTATCATCTCTTATTTCAAAAAACCTTGGTTCTCACCCTAGTTACAGTATTGTTATGTCTAACTAAACTCCCATGCACATTCCTCCTCCTCCTCCCCCCCCCAGCATCATCTAATTCTAACTCTAAGAGTAAAACATAAAATAAAGGAAAATGGCTGCATCTCCATATGTCGTCAAAGCAAGAACATCCAATGTTAGCAGCGCTGACACTATCTTCAGTTGCAGTTTCGTCCGTAAAAAATCCAAAAATGACTTCTAAGGAGTGGAGAATATATACATACATACATACATACATACATATATCTGCCAAATAAAACCTTCCATTTGAATCCACCTGTATTTTCACCGGCCAAACTACTTGGACTCAGAGCGAGGCCGAAGGACGAACTTCATGAAAAAATTAGCAAAGTCATTTAGAGTTTGTTCCTCTGTTTCTGAAAAGGGATTGCTGCTTGTGTGAAGTAGTTGAAGAAGACCCAAAGGTTCTTTTTTTCAGGAGGAGACCGCTGGACTTTCTGGTTTTTCCTACAAAAACGTTTTGCTTCTCATCCCAGAAGCTTCTTCAGCTCTGACTGGATGGTGGGGAAATGGAAGGATTTATACTCCTTGCAGACCGCTGGTCGTTTGCATTCATGCTGCAGGCTACAACACAGTCCTTTCAGCAGTTCCAAGAAGGCTCCACACCCATTTGCACCACTCGGGTGACTCAGAAGACACAGGTAAACCTCCAAGTGGCCTCAATGACTCTCTAAGAGAAGGCAAATGACCAGCAGTCTGCAAGCAGTATAAATCCTTCTGTTTCTCCACCATCCAGTCAGAGCTGAAGGAGCTTCTTGGACGAGAAGCAAAACATCTTCAAAGAAAAAACAAGAAAGTCCAGTTGCCTCTTGAAAAAGCCCCTTTGGGACAACTGAAGACACAAGTAGACCTCCAAGTGGCCTCAATGACTCTTTAAAAGGATGCAAATGACCAGCTGTCTGCAAGGAGTATAAATCTTTCCATTCCCCACCGCCTAGACAGAGCTGAAGAAGCTTCTGGGATGAGAAGCGAAACGTCCTCAAAGAAAAACATGAAAGTCCAGTTGCCTCCAGAAAAAGCACCTTTGGGACAATCAAGACCTAGATGACGGAGAATCTCCCCAGACATTAATTGAAGAAGAAAAAGGCTACTGCCAAACTTCCTCTCTCCTCCTCTTCCTCTTATTAATTCTTGAGCTAAAGCTAAGATCTTTTCCAACCATCTATTGGACAGTGATATTTCTCTCTCTCTCTCTCTCTCCACTGAAATAAGCCCAGGTGGAGTCTGTTTACTTTGTAATTAATGAGAAAGGAAGGAGCTGATAAAATATTAACAATCTTTCCATACTTCTAGCCTCACCAGCTTTAATCTTCAGCAAAGCCTCCATTCAACCGTCAAGGATCAAACAACTGCCTCTCTCTAAGCCAGGGGTCTTCAAACGGCCCTTTGATGACTGGTGGACTTCAACACCCAGAATTCCTCAGCCAGCCTCCATTTTGTTTGTTAGATTTAAGACAGGGGTCTTCAAACTTGGCCCATTGATGACTTGTGGACTCCAACTCCCAGAATTCCTCAGCCAGCCTCCATTTTGTTTGTTAGATTTAAGACAGGGGTCTTCAAACTTGGCCCTTGGATGACTTGTGGACTTCAACTCCCAGAATCCCTCAGCCAGCCTCCATTTTGTTTGTTAGATTTAAGACAGGGGTCTTCAAATTTGGCCCTTGGATGACTTGTGGACTTCAACTCCCAGAATCCCTCAGCCAGCCTCCATTTTGTTTGTTGGATTTAAGACAGGGGTCTTCAAACTTGGCCCTTGGATGACTTGTGGACTTCAACTCCCAGAATCCCTCAGCCAGTGTGCCTGGCTGAGGAATTCTGGGAGTTGAAGTCCACAAGTCATCCAAGAGCCACGTTTGAAGACCTCTGCTCTAAGCCCTGCAAGAGACTCTTTTTGGAAAGCAGAGGTTATTCGCATTAGCAGCGGCCAAAATTAAAGATCAAATCAATTCGTCGATATCTTACGTTTTACCACCACATGCCATAAAAGCTGGAAAGAAGCTAACTATGGTCTTCCCGTCACCACTAGGCCTTTTTCCTTCCATTCACGCTCCCGGTGCAAAATGAAAGCCAGCAAGTTCACTCCTGCGTCTTTACACACTCCTTAACTGTAGCAGAACCGAGTTCATAATCTATACAGCCATCGGTGGAAGCTGTATATCAACCCAGATGAAGTCAACATTTCAGCCATGGGAAGAGCTCTTAATTTAGACTTGAAAAGTCTTCCGTAGAGTAACCTCACTGAATACAGTATGCACATGGATCAGCTCCCAAAAATAAGAATATGAGAAGAAGGAGAAGAACTCCACCAGAAACAAGAGAAAAGTCCAGCCATCATTCAACGTGGATTGATATTTCATCTCTCAAATTTCAAGGACATTCATGCATTTATCTAGGACTTTGTCCCCCTAATCTTTAAAAAAGAAAGAAAGAAAGAAAAGAAACGGTGTTTGCATTGATTCATTTCAACAACAAATTTTTTTTAAAAAACAACAACAACAACAATCACACTAACAAAGGATGGTCTGGACTGGAGGAACCTGTCATTGGTTGCCACCCACACTGAGCCAAACAAGATGTGTGTTAGGCAGAGCGCTAACCGGTTATAACGGATTAAACCCTTTTCTACGCACGTAAATTACCAAATTGGATTGTCTGAAAAGGAAGCCCAGAGGAAAGCAATAACCAAGTCAAAAGCGTAAATTGAAAATTACGGCTGGAACGTAACGCTTCAAATCTTCACTCTCTAGCCTGGATTTCATGAATTTCTTGAGACTGTGACGGTCCCCTGGTCTAAGAAATGCTGCTTTTCATTACTTGGAAGAAAGCTGTTCGTGTTAATGTCGCAAGGATCCACCCTAAGGCTGGATTCTAATTAACAAAGTTCCCGAAGGTTTTCTCCTAAGAAAGCTGGCATTGTGGCGGGCCTTAAAAACCTGGCTTTTTGCCCAGGATTTGGTGTTTGAAGCCCCTTCTGAGTGGGGGGTGGGGGGTGGGGGGGGAGGTTTTGGTCTTTTGGCTCCTTTGTCTCTGCTGTTACGTTCTTTTGTTATTTTTTGTTTTTCTCTGTCTTTTTGCTTTGGGAACTGTCCAGCGTGGGTGGCAGTGAGGCTCTGCACAAGTCGAATAAATAATAATAAGCTTTGGTGTTCAAAAGCCTGCAAGGAACTTTTTTACTAACCAGGGGAGTGAAGCAAAACACCCTGTTTTAAGAAGCACTTCCTATTTGACTTTCCCCAACTCCTGGGACATCCTTTAAGAACCAAAGGAGCAGATTCCTGTCATAAAGCAAGCCCTGTGCACCTGTCAGGAAAGGGAAGGGAAAGGTAGAAGGAAGGAAAAGAAAAAAAAGGAAGGAAGGAAGGAAGGAAGGAAGGAAGGAAGGAAGGAAGGAAGGAAGGAGGGGAGGGAGGGAGGGAGGAAGGGAGGGAGGAAGGGAGGAAGAGAGAAAGGAAAGGAAGGAAGGAACAAAGGAAGGAAGGGAGGGAGGGAGGGAAGGAAGGAAGGAGGGAAGGAAGGAAGGAGAAAAGGAAGAGAGGGAAGGAAGGAAAAAAGAAGGAAGGGAGGGAGGGAGGGAGAGAAGGAAGGAAGGAAGGAGAAAAGGAAGAGAAGGAAGGAAGGAAAAAAAGAAGGAAGGGAGGAAGGAAGGAAGGAAGGAAGGAAGGAAGGAAGGAAGGAAAAAAGAAGGAAGGAAGGAAGGAAGGAAGGAAGGAAGGAAGGAAGGAAGGAAAAAAGGAGGGAGGGAGGGAAGGGAGGGAAGGAAGGAAGAAAGGAAGGGAAAAAAAGAAGGAAAGAAAAAAGAAGGAAGGAAGGAAGGATGGAAGGAAGGAGGGGAGGGAGGGAAGGAAGGAGAAAAGGAAGAGAGGGAAGGAAGAAAAAAAGAAGGGAGGGAGGGAAGGAAGGAAGGGAAGGAAGGAAAGAAAGAAAAAGAAGGATGGAAGGAAGGAGAAAAGAAGGAAGGAAGGAAGGAAGGAAGGGGAAGGGAAGAGGAAGGGGAAGGGGAAGAGGAAGAGAAGAGGAAGGCAGGCAGTCCCTACTCACGGTAGAAGATATACTCGGTGTAGCTGCTCCAGATCTTGTCCTCCCTGTACTGGTTGACGAAGGCGGCGGCGCCGGTGGAGTTGCAGGCCACCAGGTGGAAGCCGGCCTCGGCCAGGCGGTCGAAGGCCTGCTCCAGGTAGGTGTACTTCAGGTAGAAGCGGGAGGTGTACTTCTCCGGCGGCCGGTCCGGGTCGCGGCTCTCGTTCAGCGTCTCGCCGAAGATCTCCTTGGCCAGGGCGATGCGGCCGCAGACCAGGATGCGGGCCACGCGGCGGAACTTGGCGTCCGCCTGGCCGTCCCGCACCGCCGCCCCCGCCGAGCCCCGGTAGCCCAGGGTCAAGAAACCGGAGCGCCTCTCGCCGGCCCGCGCGGACGGCAGCGCCGCCGGCAGCTCCACACCGCCGGGCGAGCTGCCGTCCTCCGGGTCGCTCGGGCAGCCCTCGTCGTTCAGCGAGCCGCGCGGGGCACCGCGGGCCGCCAGCAGCTGGGCCAGACCGGCCAGCTGGAAGTGCTCGGCCTCCCGCAGGAGCCGCTCCTTCTCCGGGAAGTGCTCGGGCAGCGCCAGCTGCTTGTCGCGCAGGTAATCCAGCACGTACCTGAAGAGGAAGCCGTCGCGGTCGAGGAAGAAGCGGGCGCGGCTGTCGCGGGGCAGCTCGCGGGGCCCCCGGGAGAACATCTGGGCCAGGCTGCTGTCCGGCACGCTCAGCAGGGTGGAGTGGCGGGTCACGTAGACCTGGCCGCCCACGTTCAGCTCCACCACCTCGGGGAAGGCCGGGCCCGACGGCGCCCCCGACGCCGGGACGGCAGCCGAGCAGCCGGAGACCATCTCGCTGATGGGGAGGATGGTGGTGGTGGGGGGGACGGTGGAGGCGCCGGGGCCGCCGCCCTCCTTCAGGGCCATGCCGGGGGCTGCGGCCGCCGCTTGGCCTCGGCCGGCCGTCGGAAGCGGCCCCGACGGCGGAGGACACGCCGCAGTCCACGCGCGACCCTCTCTCGGCTCCTCCGTCCGCGGGTCTAGGTCCGCGGCTCCACGAGGGTCTCCCTGGACCCGCCGCTGTCCACGCGCGACCCTCCCTCGGCTCCTCCGTCCGCGGCTCCCGGTCTGCACTTCCAGGAGGGTCTCCGGAGCCGCCGCTGTCCACGCGCGACCCTCTCTCGGCTCCTCCGTCCGCAGGTCTAGGTCCGCGGCTCCACGAGGGTCTCCGGAGCCGCCGCTGTCCACGCGCGACCCTCCCTCGGCTCCTCTGTCCGCGGCTCCCGCTTCGCAGTCCCACGAGGGTCTCCCTGGACCCGCCGCTGTCCACGCGCGACCTTCCCTCGGCTCCTCCGTCCGCGGCTCCCGCTTCGCAGTCCCACGAGGGTCTCCCTGGACCCGCCGCTGTCCACGCGAGACCTTCCTTCGGCTCCTCCGTCCGCGGCTCCCGGTCTGCTCTTCCAGGAGGGTCTCCGGAGCCGCCGCTGTCCACGCGCGACCTTCCCTCAGCTCCTCCGTCCGCCGCTCCCGCTCCGCAGCTCCACTACGGTCTCCGGACGCTGCTGTCCACGCACGACCCTCCCTCGGCTCCTCCGTCCGCGGGTCTCTGTCTGCAGCTCCACCAGGGTCTCCGGACTCGCTGCTGTCCACGCGTGACCTTCCCTCGGCTCCTCCGTCCGCGGCTCCCGGTCTGCACTTCCAGGAGGGTCTCCGGAGCCGCCGCTGTCCACGCGCGACCCTGCCTCGGCTCCTCCGTCCGCGGCTCCCGCTCCGCAGCTCCACCGGGGTCTCGGGACTCGCTGCTGTCCACGCGCGACCCTCCCTCGGCTCCTCCGTCCGCGGGTCTCTGTCTGCAGCTCCACCAGGGTCTCCGGAGCGGCCGCTGTCCACGCGCGACCGTCCGCCGGCTCGACTCCCCGTTCCTTCGGCGGCTGGGACTCTGGCCGTCCGGGACCCCCCCAGGGAAGCCTCCGCCCTGCCCTCCGGGCTTGGAGGAGGGGGTCTCCCTGCAGGAAGCGCCCCTCGGGGCTTCTCCTTCTCCTGCCGGGCGCGTAAGAGCCGCCGTCGCCTTTCGGCAGACCCCGCTAGAGGAGTGGGGGGGGGTCTCTCCCTTGCCCGGGACCACCACCACCCCGGCTTGCGCTTCAGCCCCCGGGGGACCCTCGGTGGCTGCTGGCCCGCCCTGCGCGCTCAGCCCGGGGGCGCAGCGGCAGGGCAGGAGCCGCGCCCGGGAAGCCGGGCTGGATCCAGGGCGGAGGCGGAGGGTGGGTGGCTCTGCCTGGGTCGCTCTGCCAGCTCGACCCGCCGCAGCAGTCCGGGGAAGCCGAGCTGACGTCAAGCGCGGGCAGCGAAAGGGAAGCCGAGCCGCGGGGACCTTGCGCAGAGCCCGTCAGGAAAGGCGCGGGGGGGGGGGAAGGGGAGGGGGAGGCAGAGGAGGGGGAAGGGACTTTCGGAGGCGCAAAGCCGGAGGATCGCAACGGCTGCCGATTGGGCGCTTCGTCGGGGAGGCCAGAGGCAGGAGCTGGGGAGAGGCAGGGGGAGGGGGAGGGGAGGGGGTCTGCCTCCAAAGCAGGCGCGGGTGGAGCGGGGGTCCTGGGGGGGGCAACTTTGGAACTAGCGATGCTAGAACTTCCATGCGCCTAGTCAAAAAGAATCCGACCCCGGGAGGGCCGTTAGGATGGATTTGCTGTCTGCTCCCATCCGGCTAATCTTGAATCTCTCTTGCCTTCGGTTGGGTTGGGTTGGGTTGGGTTGGGTTGGGTTGGGATGGGATGGGATGGGATGGGATGGGTTGGGATGGGATGGGATGGGATGGGATGGGATGGGTTGGGTTGGGTTGGGTTGGATTGGGATGGGATGGGATGGGATGGGATAGGTTGGGTTGCATTGGGATGGGATGGGATGGGATGGGATGGGATGGGGTTGGGTTGGGATGGGATGGGATGGGATGGGTTGGGTTGGGATGGGATGGGTTGGGATGGGATGGGATGGGATGGGATGGGTTGGGTTGGGTTGGGATGGGATGGGATGGGATGCGATGGGATGGGATGGGTTGGGTTGGGTTGGGATGGGTTGGGATGGGGGGTGGGTGGGGGGAAGGGGGAAGGGAATCCATGGGCCAGACTTGGACTGGATTAGACAGGCTCTTTGCCTTTCTGACAAGGTCCTGGACTCCGGCAGCACTGGAGAAGGGGAGGGGGAAAAAAAACCCAGCCAAGAGCTGTGCAAAAAGATGCTGAGATCCTCCAGGTGGAGCAAAAGGCCATACGAAGCAATCATCCTGCTGAGTCCAGATGCGGTTCTTTCAGTGCCTTTTCTGAGGAGGAGGAGGACCCCATTTGGGGTCAAACGGCCATTTCACGGGGGTCGCCAAACAACGCAGTCCGCCATTTTTTCCCCCTTTTCCTTAGCTGTGCTACTCCCTTTTATTCTAATGGCTTTTGAAAGCCAATCAAATAGATTCTCTTGAATAGAGTCTAATTCTATTGGCTTTCAAAAGCCAATAGGAATTGTCCAGGCTGTCTCTGCCCTGCTGAGCCCGCCAAAAGTCCCATTCTGCAAACGGTGCTGCACCAGTTGAGTAGTCCTTGACTTACAACCGGTTGAGTAGTCCTCGACTTATGACCGGTTGGAGGTCGCGGCATTAAAAAGGTTGAGAACCACTGCTCTACACCAAAGGCATCCAACCTTGGCAACTTTTGACTGGTGGTCTTCAACTCCCAGAATTCTTGAAAATCCACGCTGGCTGAGAAAGTCTGGGAATTGAAGTCCACCAGTCCTAAAGTCGGCCTGTTCTACACTACATAGCATTACATCATGGTTACGAATCTAAATGTTCAGGCACAAATGCCACATTCCCAATACAGGCAGTCCTCAACGTACGGCCACAATTGAGCCCGGCGTTGTTAACTGAGACATTTGTTCAGTGAGTTTTGCCCCACTTTGTGACCTTTCTTGCCACAGTTGTTAAATGAGTCACCCAGCCGTTAAGTGAATCTGGTTTTCCCATTGACTTTGCTCGTCGGAAGGTCGCAAATGGGGATCCCATGACCCCGGGCATGTTGCGACCGTCATAAATATGAGTCAGTGGCCAAGCCTCCAATTCTAATCCCATGACCGCTAGGATGTTGCGACCGTCATAAATATGAGTCAGTGGCCAAGCCTCCAATTCTGATCCCATGACCGCTAGGATGTTGCAACCGTCATAAATATGAGTCAGTAGCCAAACCTCCAATTCTGATCCCATGGCCATGGGGATGTTGCAACCGTCATAAATATGAGTCAGTGGCCAAGCCTCCAATTCTGATCCCATGGCCATGGGGATGTTGCAACCGTCATAAATATGAGTCAGTAGCCAAACCTCCAATTCTGATCCCATGGCCATGGGGATGTTGCAACCGTCATAAATATGAGTCAGTGGCCAAGCCTCCAATTCTGATCCCATGGCCATGGGGATGTTGCAACTGTCATAAATATGAGTCAGTGGCCAAGCCTCCAATTCTAATCCCATGACCGCTAGGATGTTGCGACCGTCATAAATATGAGTCAGTGGCCAAGCCTCCAATTCTGATCCCATGACCGCTAGGATGTTGCAACCGTCATAAATATGAGTCAGTGGCCAAGCCTCCAATTCTGATCCCATGGCCATGGGGATGTTGCAACTGTCATAAATATGAGTCAGTGGCCAAGCCTCCAATTCTGATCCCATGGCCATGGGGATGTTGCAACCGTCATAAATATGAGTCAGTTGCCAACTGTCTGAATTTTGATCTCCTCATCATGGGGATGCTACAAAGGTTGTAACTGCGAAAAACAGTCACACAGGTTATATTTTTTTCAGTGCCGTTGTAACTTTGAACAGTCACTAAATGAACTGTTGCAAGCCTGTATTATTAAGAAGACAGGATTGTCCGTAATGGCAACAAGGTTCTGCCCAGATAGATTTTTGGAGAGGTGTAGCAAAAAGCAGTGACTTTCCCCCACCCAGCAGGATTCTGCAGCGAAGCGATGCAGTCCAAATGAAAGACTGATCTATCTCCAACTTGCATTCAGTTGTGGTGCGTTTAAAGCGGAAGCCTCCCCAATGCATCATAAGGATAAATTAAAAATAGTACGGCGATACACTGAGAAAGGTTAAAGAGGACGGGCTGTGCAGAACAATCTAATGAGCCCCAGGCATAAATGCAGCATTCCGTGATGTCGTCTCCCATGATGATGTAAATCATAACTTATTACCCAGCATATGGTGAGCGGTGACAAAATTGTGCTTTAAGAAAATATGCAAGAAGGGGGAGGGAGGAAGAGCAGCAAGATTTTGTGGGGATGGATTTGCCTTAGAATCCCGTGACGGAACAACTTGCCTCCAGAAGTTGCGGGTGCTCCAACACTGGAAGATTTTAAGAAGAGACTGGACAACCATTTGTCTGAAAGGGTATAAGGTTTCCTGCCTGAGCAGGGGGTTGGACTAGAAGACCTCCAAGGTCCCTGCTGAGTCTGTTATTCTGTTCTGTTCTGTCCTGTTCTGTTCTAGTCTATTCTATTCCTGTATTCTATTCCTATATTCTATTCTACTCCATTCCATTCCATTCCACTCTACTCTACTCCTATTCTATTCTAATAGTCTACTCTACTCTACTCTACTCTACTCTGTTCTATTCTATTCCTATATTCTATTCCTATATATTCTATTCCATTCCACTCCATTCCACTCCTATTCTACTACTCTACTCTACTCTACTCTACTCTACTCTACTCTACTCTACTCTACTCTACTCTACTCTACTCTACTCTACTCTATTCTATTCTATTCTATTCTATTCTATTCTATTCTATTCTATTCCTATACTCTATTCTACTCCATTCCATTCCACTCTACTCTACTCCTATTCTACTACTCTACTCTACTCTACTCTACTCTACTCTACTCTACTCTACTCTACTCTACTCTATTCTGTTCTATTCTATTCCTATATTCTATTCCTATATATTCTATTCCATTCCACTCCATTCCACTCCTATTCTACTACTCTACTCTACTCTACTCTACTCTACTCTATTCTATTCTATTCTATTCTATTCTATTCTATTCTATTCCTATACTCTATTCTACTCCATTCCATTCCACTCTACTCTACTCCTATTCTACTACTCTACTCTACTCTACTCTATTCTATTCCTATATTCTATTCCTATACTCTATTCTATTCCATTCGATTCAACTCTATTCTACTCCTATTCTACTACTCTACTCTACTCTACTCTACTCTACTCTACTCTACTCTACTCTAAGGTTCCTAAACCTTATTGGAAGTTGTTGGAAGACTCACTCAAGGAAGAATCATTGTAGGAGAATCATTGAAGTTAGTCTTGAGAAAAAGGAGGAGATGTTTTTTTTTTCATCTCAGGTTCATACAGTCATGTATTCATAAATCCATAAATCCAAAACCCATCACTCAATCACGGAACACTGATGGGTTGTAGATCCATTCCTATTAGAGCTGGGTTCTGGTATGATATCTAAAAGTTGCTTTGGAGCATAGAGGAGGATTTGCGTGCTCTGCTTTTCATAAGATTGCCCAGTTGCTTTCAGGTGCTCCATCCAAGAGCTGTGTTCAAATTCCTGTGGCCTCAGAACAGAGCAGAATAGAATAACGGAGTTAGAAGGGACTTTGGAGGTCTTCTAGTCCAACCACCCACCCAAGCAGGAGGCCATATACCCTTTCAGACAAATGGTTATCCAATCTCTTCTTGAAAACTTACAGTGTTGGAGCATTCACAGCTTCTGGAGGCAGGCTGTTCCACTGATTAATTGTTCTGTTAGGAAATTTCTACTTAGTTCTAGATTGCTTCTGTCCTTGATTAGTTTTCATCCCTTGCTTCTTGTCCTGCCTTCAGGTGCTTTGGAGAATAGCTTGACTCCCTTTCCTTTGGGGCAGCCCCTGAGATATTGGAAGACTGCTATCATGTCACCCCTGGTCCTTCTCTTCATTAAACTAGACATACCCAATTCCAGCAACCGTTCTTTACATGTTTTAGCCTCCCAACCTCCAAAGTGCCTTTCTGAGGTGGTTCCACCTGTCTGCACTGTTCTTTTTCTTAGCATCTCCTGGTGGCAACAGACAGAAAGCAGTTCTTCCTGAGATACAGGAAAATCACATAACAGATGTAATATGTAGTGGGTAATGAAATA